AAGAACATAAAAAAGAGAAAAGAAAATTTCAGAATTGATTTATTTTTATTTTTGTTATGTTTTAGTCATTATTATTATTATTATTATTATTATTATTATTATTAATATTTTAAACGGTGAAAAAATAAACACCCAACATTAATTTTTGTTTTTGTTCAGCATATAAACTTTTGATTTATTTTATTTTATTTATTTTATATAATTAACCAAATTTATTTATCCGGTTTTGATCGATTTTATTATTATTATTATTATTATTATTATTATTTTGTAATTGATTAGTTAAGAAAAGAGAAAAAGGAAGAATTTATGAAACCCGGTTATTCATTATGTGATGTTTTAAAATTTTTTGGTTTTTTTTTTTTTTATTGTAAATTTTTTTTTTAAAAAAGAAAAGAAAATGAAGAAGAAAAAAAAATTATTTTTTTAGTTTTTTAGTTTTGTTTTGTTTTAAGTATAAATATTATTATTATTATTATTATTATTATTGTATGTACAAAACGCATTTAAAAAAAAAATGAAAATGAAAATGAAAAAAAAATTATTATTATTTTATAAAATTGTAAAATTTTTTTTTAGTGTTTAAAAAAAAAAAAAAAAAAAAAAAAAAAAGATTTTTTTAGCAAAGCACAACAAACGAATAAGAATAGAAGAAAATGATAATAATTATAATGATAATGATAATACATACATACATATGTATCTTTTTTTATTATAAAAACAAATAATAATGATAATAATAATGTTATCGTTTAAAATTTCAAATTTTTGGTAGGGAAAATGAATTTTTTTTTTTTTTTTTTTTTTTTAATACTACTAGTCTTGGAAAAAAAATTATTATTATTATCATTATTACTATCATTATTATCATTATTATTGTTAAAAAGAAAGAGAAAGAAGATATATTCTTGTAAAAGGGTGCTTTAAGCTTTAATATCAATCGCGTTTGTGTAATATATTATTGGTTAAAGAAATTTAATTATTACGCACACACGTGCATACACACGCACACTCACACGTGCACGCACGTATTTCTTTCATCAAAACAAAAAAAAGTTTTATTAATAATAATAATAATTTAAATCACGCATAAAAGTTATTAATTTTTATATTAATTTTAAATCAAGACTAATTAATAATTGGAAGAAAGAAAGAAAGAGAAAGAGAGAGAGAGAGAGAGAAAGAAAGCAATGATAATGATGATAATTATGTATTTATATGTAAGAGGGATTTAATAATTAAAATATATTTTCCTCTCTCTCTCTCTCTCTCTATTTCTGTCTTTTTTTAACTTTACCAAAACGTTTTTTTTTTTTTTTTTTAAATGCAAACATAATAAATAAATAGAATGAGTAGGTAAATATTATTAAACTATTACTACCTACATAAGTGTAAACAAATATAAATAAATAAATAAAAGGTTAATAGTTATATATATATATATATACATAAAATTAATTAAAGTATAAATAGTTGCCTGTTTCGTAGTTTATTATTATTATTATTATTATTTTTATTTTTATTTTGTGCAATCAATCACAAATTAATTAATTATTATAATTTTCTATTTTTTTTTTTTTAATGTAAATAATTAGTACGTTAATTAATTAATAATAATAATAACTCTGGTTACTAATAAATAAATAAATAAATAAAATTAATTATTCCTTAATTAATACTATTATAAACACAATCAGTTAATTATTAATGTCGCTATTATTATTATTATTATTATTAACAACACGTTAGTTATTGTAGTTTTAATTAATTTATTGTAACGTTTTATTATTATTATTATTATTATTATCATCATCATCATAAGATTTTTTTTTAATTTCCGGTTTAATAAATTATTGATTTAATTTATCCGTCCGTTTTTTTTTTTTAAAATTTGCAAAAAATTTAATCACAAATAAATAAATAAATAAATAAATAATTAATCGTTGGAAAATGCAGACTGATAACTGTTAATAATAATAATGATAATAATACTAATAATAATGATACTTTTTTGTTTTGTTTAAAAAGATATCAAATCACGATAAATTTTGAATTTACATACAAATCGTTATCATCATTATTTTTATCCGTTTGTTTTCGAATTTTAATAAAATATACATATATACATAAATATTATTTACATAAAATTTTATGTATTTCAAATTATTATTTATTTTTTTATTAATCTGTTAAGAGAGATGATAAGAGAAAATTAATGAAAAATCGATAAGAAAATGCAAATACATAAATATTAATATTAATATAAATTAAGTAATAATAATAATAATAGTGTATGAAAAATTGTTTTATAATAATAATAATAATAATTGTTAGTACCTGTAGAAACTTTTCTTTTTTTTTTTTGAAAAATGTAATGCAAGAAAAAAAAAAAAAAACTTATTTCATTTATATTATCACATTAAAACTTAATTAATTAATTTGTTTAAATTTTTTTTTTATTTATTTATTTATAATACTTGAAAGGTATTTAAATTTAAATAAAATTTTTTTCCCCCCCCCATCTTTTACGTCATAATTTATGTTTTTTTTCTAGGTACGAATCGTTTCCGGTTTTCGATTTGTTTGATTTGTCAAACTTTAAGCATTTTTTTATTATTATTATATATTTATTTATTTGTTATGTAAGTAAGTAAAAATAAATATAATATAATACCTTGGCAATAATAATAATAATAATATTTTGTTTCAGGAGAGAGGAGAAGGGAGGGAGACGGTTGGTTTCCGTTTCCGTTAATCGTGTGATTTCCGTTAAATTAATTATTTTATTTTATTTTATTGCAGATCAATCGACGAATGATAATTCATCAAATTCTCGGGATTTTAATGAATCCACGAATGAAAATCAACAAAAACTTCCTACAATAATGAAAATAAAAATAAAAGAAGAGATACCACCGCCATTACTACCACCATCGCAATCTTCCGCTGTATCGGAAAATTCGGAAGTTCCGGGCTTCCATTTTTTATCACACGAATATTTTGAAAAAACAAATCACGATAGCATAAACGAAATAATTGATAATCTACCAAAAGCGAGATCGGATTTATTAGAGTACCTGGTTAAAAATGATGGTACGGTCGTGTGTAAATGGTGCGGAGAAGTATTACCCTCGAGAACTCATTGGTACAGGCACAAATATAAACTACACGTACCGACAGCGGGTCTTCCTGCGGGTTTAATCAAGTGTATTAAGTGCAATACGTTTTTTAAAAGTAGCAAAGGTTACGTCGGACATTGCGTGTCACGTCACGGAAGCGTTGAAGAAGCCGAAAAAGAAGAGAAAAAAGACGATGAAGAATCATCATCATCTCAAATGATAATAAAAGAAGAGAAATTAGTTTTGGTAGAAGAAGAAGAAGATGAAGAAGAAGTGGTAGAGGAAGAGGATGAGGAGGATGAGGAGGAAGTGGAAACGATGGATGTGAAAGTTGTGACGGAAAGAATTGAAAAAGAAGAAACGGAATATAGGAAAAGATCGTATAAATTTATAGAATCGTGCGGTAGAACGAATAGACAAAAGAAAAACATGACGAAAGATGAAAAAAAAGAAGATTATTTAAAACAGAGAGAAAAAGAAGAGAAATTAGTGGCCGACATAATAGCTAAAGTTAAAAAAGAATGCGAAGATAAAAGTATAACCATGTGCAGGAGAGGATATTCAAGAAGATCTACCGTTATGACGTCATTCCGGGAATACGATAAGAGAAAGTAATACGTCATTCATTCATTTAACAATAAGTGTCAAACGAAAAAATTATAAAATGAACCCCTTTGAAAGGGGATGTTTTATGATAATACACGTTCAACTTATTTTTATTTATGTATCAAATGAAACAAACACACAAACACACGCTATGAGTACCTGATTTAAAAAAAGAAAGAAAATGCAATCTCTCTCTCTCTCTCTCTCTCTCTCTCTGTCTAACAATTATAATAATTACTCGTATTGTACATGCTCAATAATAATAATAATAATAATAATATACATTTACTGTAACGTATTTATATCTTTATTTTAAATTCTTTTGAAATCTTTTTTAATTTTTGTCAAAAGTGTCAATTATTATTTTTTTTTTTCATTATTATTATTATTATTATTATTAATTTAAAACTTTTTTGTTTGTTTGTTGTTGTATTATAATTGTAAAAAAAAAAAAAATACTAATAAGAGAGAAAAAAAAAAAACTTTCTGCTTTCAAAAGACTGTAATAAATAAATAAATAATTAATAAAAAAAATTTCGGCAGGTATTACTTTTATTATTTTATTATTATTATTACTATTATTATTATTATTGATAAAAATTCTGATACAAAAACTACATATATATATATATATATATATATATATATATATATTAAAATTAATTAATTATTATTATAAAAATTTTATATTTTTTTCAAAAAAAACAAAACAAAACAGAAAAAAGTCTTTAATTATTTAATTACTTCCTATAGTTATAAGATTTTCTTTTTTTTTTTAAACAAACAAACAAACAAAAAGTTTGTTGTTTGTTTGTTTGTTTGTTTGTTGTTTGTTGTTGTTGTGTGAGGTATCATTAAAAACAATTTTTTTTTTTTTTTTTTTTTCTGAAATATTTGGTGCCTATTGATATTCCTTAACGATATCATCATCAACATAAGGATTTTAATTTTTGATGATAAATTAAAAAATAAAAATATAAATTTATTTTATCCGATTTCTTCCATGTTTAAAAAATAATAATAATAATAATGATATTGATAATAATAATAATAATTTTTTTAAATAAAAATAAAATTTTAATATTTATTCGTTTGAAGAGAAGAAGAAAAAACCTTTTTTTTGTTTGTTTGTTTACGTAATTTTTAAAGATTAAATAAATTTACATTTCGACAAACTATACATAATACTTATTTTCTCTATTAAATAATAATGTAATAAATAAATAAAAAAGTTAATTTGTGTGGCTGATGGTAAAAAAAAAAAAAATTATGTTCATATATACATATTTATGTAAATTATTTTTATATAAATTTTAATTAATATTCATTTTTTTTAATAGTAAAAAAAAAAATATTTTGATCTTTTTTTCGTTATTTATTCATCCTACCGGTGGTAGTAGTAGTAGTAGTAGTAGTAGTAGTTGTTAGAATTAACAAATTATTTATTTTAAAAATGAGGGGGGGGGGCTTTTGTCTCGTTAAAATAAAAAATTTTTCCAAATAAAATAAAATTAAAAAAAAAATGCGTTCTAAATTTTTAAATCGTTCGATTCTGTCATGTTAGTGACACGTGACTAAAAGTCATGTGATCAGAATTAACCAATCAAATTTTTTATTAATCCCGGTCACGTGGACACGGTGTGCATGAAAACGTTTTTATGATTGAATTTTTGAATTGTTACGTTCGCGTCGAATGCGAGAAACAACGAGATTTTCTTTTTTTACCGTTTTTTTCGGATTTGCTTTCTTTAATATTATTCGAATATATATCGTATATGAGTATTTTTTTTCCATTTTATATTTTATTCGACTGTAATTATATATTTTAAAATCCGTTATTGTTATTTTTCATAAAAAATTTAAATTAAAACGGGTACGAAAGACAAAATGGTTTTCATTTGTCAAACAAACCGTTGATTTGAACGATTTTGTTTTTCTTTTCGTGTGTGTAATATTTCACAAAAGTAAATATCTACAAGTTTATCGGTAAGTTATAAAGTTATAAAAATTAAATAATTAGTGATTTCGTAAAAGTTTTTGTAAAAAAATTATTCAAAGTTCCATTAGGAACACCGACATATTGGTTTTCGTTTCAGATAAAAAAATTAAATTAATAATGACGTCCGGAATGTCTGATAATTCGTCTCAAAATTCAGGAAAACATACGGTTCATTGGTTTCGTAAAGGATTAAGACTTCACGATAATCCAAGTCTTAGAGAAGGAATAAAAAATTCTGTGACATTTCGTTGCGTTTTTGTTATAGATCCATGGTTTGCTGGGTCATCAAATGTAGGAATTAATAAATGGAGGTTAGTCAATGAGAGAAAAAAAAAAGTTTTACGTCATCATCGGTAATAATCTCGTTTTTTTTCCAAAAAAATAATTTTATTCTAGAATAAAACGAGACGATTAACGTGAGTTTCTATTTCATTCCCCCCCTCTTTTCCCCCTTCCCCCATCCCTTGATGCGTGAGTGTAAAATTTTATTTGTATGTGTTGTTGTTGTTGTTTAACGAATATTAAAATAACAAAAAAAAATTTATTTATGTATTTATTTAACTCTCTTATGTGATATATATATCGCGTCATTCTAAGTTTATTTATTATGTACATAATTTTTTTACTTTTAACCGATGATGTAAATTCATTCAAAAACTATGAATTGCAAATCCTTCATTTCAAAACTCATAATGAACTAAAAGTAAAACGTTTTGTCTGGTTCCACGAAAAAATTTTTTGTTTACAGGTTTTTACTTCAGTGCCTGGAAGATTTGGATAGAAGTTTGAGAAAACTAAATTCCCGTTTGTTTGTTATACGAGGACAACCGGCTGATACACTACCTAAATTATTTAAGGAATGGGGTACGACAAATTTAACATTCGAAGAAGATCCTGAACCTTTTGGACGAGTGAGAGACCTTAACATAATGGCGATGTGTAAAGAACTTGGAATTAGCGTCGTTTCAAAATCATCACACACACTTTATAAATTAGAACAGTAAAAAATAAAAACATTTTCTTTTTTTGTTGTATGGTGGCCACGGTTTTGGATTTTTGTTAGTATAACCCTTTTCCCTTACAGCATAATAGAAAAAAATGGCGGAAATCCACCTTTGACTTACCATCAATTTCAAACGATCATTGCAAATATCGGTCCACCACCGGAACCTGAAGAAACGGTGACGGCAAACCTTTTGGAAGGTTCACAAACTCCACTATCCGATGATCATGATAATAAATATGGAGTTCCAACACTGGAAGAACTCGGTCAGATGATTGTCTGTTGAATAAAAATAATTTATTAAAATTTTTTAATTGTTTTTTTTTTTTTGTACTCAACAATTTCAAATCGTTTGTTTGCGTTTATACAGGTTTTGAAACGGATAAATTAAAACCAACGGTTTGGAGTGGGGGCGAAAGTGAAGCTTTAGCTCGTTTAGAAAGACACCTCGAAAGAAAAGCTTGGGTTGCTAGTTTTGGTCATCCCAAAATGACTCCTCAATCATTATTGGCTAGTCAAACTGGATTGAGTCCGTACCTGAGGTTCGGGTGCCTTTCTACAAGGTTATTCTATTATCAACTCGTCGAATTGTATAAAAAGGTTATTCAAAGTTTTACTTTTCGTCATTGTGGAAAAGTAGAATGTAGAATTAAACCTTTTTGTTTGTTTGTTTGTTTGTTTTAACAGATAAAAAAGGCGATGCCTCCTCTTTCCCTACACGGACAATTACTTTGGAGGGAGTTTTTCTATTGCGCAGCAACAAAAAATCCTAATTTTGATAAAATGAATGAAAATCCGATTTGCGTACAAATCCCATGGGATGAAAATGCTCAGGCACTTGCCAAATGGGCAAACGTTAGTTTTTTTCTTTTTTAAACGTATCATTATTATTATTATTAGGTAACAAAAATTTTTTTACAGGGACAGACAGGATTTCCGTGGATCGACGCCATAATGACGCAGCTTAGAGAAGAAGGTTGGATTCATCATTTGGCACGTCATGCCGTTGCTTGTTTTTTAACAAGAGGAGATTTGTGGATTTCTTGGGAAGAAGGAATGAAGGTGTGAAAAATGTTTTCCCATCGGAAAACAGGGAGAATTTATATTTATTTATCACGTTTTGTGTGTCCAGGTTTTCGACGAACTTTTATTAGATGCGGATTGGTCGGTTAATGCCGGAATGTGGATGTGGTTATCTTGTTCGTCATTTTTTCAACAATTTTTTCATTGTTATTGTCCCGTACGATTTGGTAGAAAAGCAGATCCAAACGGTGATTACATAAGGAAGTACTTACCGATTTTGAAAAATTTCCCGACGAAATACATTCACGAACCTTGGTTGGCACCTGAAACCGAACAAAGAGCTGCCAAATGCATCATCGGTAAAGATTTTCCACTACCGATGGTCAATCATTCTATCGTCAGTAAAATAAACATCGAAAGAATGAAACAAGTTTATAGACAGTTGAGCAAATATCGGAGTCAGGGTACCTGAAATGAAAAAAAGAAAAAACATTTTTCCTATTAATAATAATAATAATCGATTTTGAAAAAATTTTTTTTTTTTTTTTTTTCCACTGCAGGAACATTGAAAACAATCTCGAGCATGACGTTAGATGAAACGTGTATGATTTCGAACAACAAAGACCAACAGCACCAACAGCACCATCATCATCATCATCAGGCATCATTGGTCAAATATGAAACTCAAAAAAAATGTCAAGAACAACAAGTTAAAAATAAAGAAAATGAAATTTTCGTCAACGGTTTACAAACTGGAGAATTTTACAATTTTCCATTCGTACAAAAGAATAAAAATCTATTAGATAATGATAATTATTGTCATGATAATACGTATGGAAAAATGGAAATTCTACCGATCAATTACCAACAACAACAACCAATTTATAATAATAATAATAATAATATTACAACGGAAACAACATTTGATAATAATTTGTTGTGTAGAAATCAAGAACGTATCATACCTCAACAAACGTATATTATATTAAATGATGGAACTTTAAACAACAACAACAACAACGATTTTAATAACGAACAACAATCGCAACAACAACAACAAACACAACTACGATCCGATAATAATAATAAAATTTATTGTACGACAAATGTTTTTCGCGAAACAAATAATTACAATGATGATCCAAATAACGATTATGGCGGACAATATACAAAGGATGAAAGATCCGCGTGAATTTTAACTCCTCCTTCTCCTTCTCCTCCTCCTCCTATTATATATATATATATAATAATATTATAATAATAATAATAATATAATTTAGATTATTGTTAATAATTAAAAAAAAAAAAATTGTATGTTTGTTCACATAATAATAATAATAAAAATAAAAATGAATTATATTTTTGATTATTCAACGATTTTTCATTTAAAAAATTATTTCACCCCCACCCCCCTGCGCACCCTCCCCTCCCCCTACCCCACACTTCCCCTCCCTTTTTTCAACCCCTTAAAGAAACCAAGAAAATATAAGGATCACAATTGAAAAAGAAAGAAAGTTAAAATTTTTTTTTTTTTTTTAATATATATTTTTTTTTTATCGAATATTATATATATGTATAATAATAATAATAATAATAATAATAATAATAATAATAATAATAAAAGTTACCTATCTAAATTGAAAATTTTACATATTACATCAAGTCAAAAAAAAAAAAAAAATTATTTAAATCGTGTAAATATATATTTATATTTATTTATATTTATATATATATATATATATAATTTTAAATTAAATTAAAGCGATTGATTATATTAATAATAATAATAATAATAATAAATAATAATAATGTAAAATGATAATGATAATATTCACCGATTTTTATGATCGTAGATTTTTCCCATAAAATGATTAATAATGATCAAGTAAGAAGCCGAAATTCGATTGATTTAAATAATAAAATAAATAAATTTTCTTTTGATTTATTAATAATGATTTCATTCATTCATTCAATCAATCAATCAATCAATCATTCGCACGTTTAAAAAGCGACAAGAAAAATGAAGAAGAAAAAAAAAAAAAAAAAAAGAATCAGTGAATGCAAATCGTTTTTTACCTTTCCTTTCCTACCCACGTGACGAAACACTCTTTTAACGTTTTTGACATTTTTTTTTTTTTTTGAAAAAAAAAACTTTCACAAAATATTAATTATTAATTAATTAATTAATTAATAAACGACAACGACGACAACGACACAACACAAAAAAAAAAATTTTTTTTTTCGTTATAAACAAATTCAGTCTTCGTTCGGCTCCGTTTGAACGACGCGAGAACACAAGTAAAACTGACATGAAGAAAAACCAGACGATGTGACGTAGCAGCAGAAAGCAGAAAGCGGAAAAGTAAAAAGTAAACAAAACAAACAAAAAGGCGGGAAATGAATTTTTTTTTAAATAAAAACGCACGTTCAAATGAAGCCATGTTTTTTTTTTTTTTCATTTTTTTTTTTTTTTGGTTTTTTTTTTTTTAATTAAAGCAATTTTTAAAAACAATTTTTACGCAATTTTTACTTCCCCTCCCTCCCACCCTCCCTTCCCCACCTTTTTATTTTTGTCGTGTATTATTTACATGGGGTAGTTTTAAACATAAAAAAAAAAATAATAAAAACTGTACAATATTCACATTACGAATTTTGTTCAATAAAATTTACAAATTTTTTTTTTTCTTACTTCCTTTCTTACCCTCTCACTCTCTCTAACTTCCTCACTTTCTCTCTCTCTCTCACTTTGATTTATTACAATGATAATAATAATTAATTAATTAATTAATTATTTAATTACGAAAAAGTAAAATTTGAATGCAAAAAAAAAAAAAAAAATGATCATCATCGTCAAAGAGTGTTTCAATGAGTGTTTTTACATTATCATCATCATCATCATCATTATTATTATTATTATTACTCTTATTTTTAAACCAAAACGATCGCATATCATCATCATCGTCGTCGTCATCGTTGTCGTCATCACCGTCATCATCATCATAATCGATGACGTTATTTACTCTTTACCCCGCGCCCATTTGTTTCTTCGTTTGTTTGTTTGTTGTTTGTTTGCGTGTTTTGCGTTTTAATGCACAATACAAAAAACGAAAGGGAAAAGGACGCTACACGCACATGTTATTAAACACATAGCAGACGATATAATATTGGATAATATATGCAAACACAAAAGTAAGCCTAATAATGCATTAATAAATCAATCAATCAATCACTCACTCACGATGAATGATTGTTTGCTTGTTTGTTTGTTTGCCCCGTTCTCCAAAACAAAAACAAACGGGGTTCATTTTTTTTTTTTTTTTTTTTTAAACAATCGATCAAACGACAAAGACGACGACGAGACGACGATATCCTCATCGCAAAAAAAAAAAAAAAACAAAACAAATCGATGACGTAAGCAACCATTTCCGTTTACAATCTATCTATTATATCTCACAGACTCGCGCATCAAATCACGTGACCACTTCCGTCATCGTTTGTTTACATTTTTTTCCCTTTCTACTCTTTTCATACACACAATTCCGCCATACCTACATCATCCCCATTATTATTATTATTATTATTAATATTTGATGTTACACACATCGCTCATTTATAATTATTATTATCATTAATTAATTATTTAAAATAAAAAATAAAAAAATTCATTTTAAATGTTATTTTTTCCAATTTAAACAAAAAAAAAAACCCTTAAAACTAAAAAAAAACTACAAAAATTAAATTAAAAAAAAAAAAAAAAAGAAATGTTCACATCTACAAACATCATAAAAAAAGTTTTATATATATATATGTGTGTGTGTGTATTTACTTTTATGTCTCTCTCTCTCTTTCTATATATATATATATATATATATGTATAAACACATAAAAATTATTATCATTATCGTTATCATCATTAATTTATTCATAATAATAATAATAAAATAAATTTTATTTTATTTTGATTGGATTCATGATGGATTTTACATTATTTTTTGATTTGATTTTTATTTTGATTTTATTTTGATTTTTTTTTTTTCTTTACCTCTCGATACGATTTCATTTCCGTTTCCGTTTTCTATACCATTTAAAAGAAAATAAATAAAAAAATAAAAAATTTAATTTTGAATGCCTGTGTTAAAAACAGTGCCTGTCTATAAAAACAATTTTGTTTGTTTGACAAAATCATCATCATCATCATCATCATCATAATCATTATTATGATTATTATTATTATTATGCAAACAAAAAGAAACAAAAAAAAAGCAGAAAAGAGACAAACAGTGAAAGTAGCAGAAGTAGCAGGAGGAGGAGGAGCCTACAACAGCAGCATACAAATGCACAAATTACAAAAAATATATATTTCTACTACTGCTGCTGCTGCTACCACCACCACCACTACTACTTCCACCATTAATAATAATGATGATAATGATAACAAACAAGCAAACAAAACAACAGCACATAGTTTTAAAACTTTAAAATCGTTACATTCAAAAAAAAAAAATCCTGCACACATATTTATATAATTATTATTATTGTTACCATCATCATTATTATTATTATTGTTACCTATCATCATCATCATTATTATTATTATTATTATTATTATTATGTATACATCATCTTTTCCATTCTATTCATATATATATATATATAAATGTAAACAATAAAATTATATTATTACATGTGAGATTTACAATTATTAAAAAAAAAAGGAAAAGGAAAAAAAAATTGTTTTGAAACAAAAAAAATTCATTTTTTTAGAAACTGTTTCAAAACATTTTCCCTTTTCCCCTCTTTATATATAAATATAATACACCCAAACGTATTTTTATTATAAATTTTACATTTTAAATGAGGAGGAGAAGGGGAGGGGAAAAAAATGTTTGAGATTACCTAAGAGAAGAACAATTTCAAACGTGTTTGTGTTTATTTGTTTGTTGTGTGCCTGGGGCGGGGCGGGGGGAGAGAGATTTTATTGGGGGGTGGGGGGTTTAACTAGGGATCCCGTGTATGTACAGAATGGTTTATTTATATATATATAATCACTGGAAAGAGAAAAATATATAATACAAGATTTAAATACATTTTTTTTTTTTTTTTTAAATATTCAGTCTCGGACGTTAGAAGACAATTTTTAATAATTAATTAATTAAGCGTTGTTGCGCGTTGTTGTTGTTGTCACCTATTATTTAAACAATTTGTACAAAATAATTTTTTTAATTAAAACAAACAAACAAACATACAAACAAAATAAAAAAAAATAATAATAAAAATAAGAATAATTTGAAACATTTTTACAAAACTTTTTTTTTTATTATTTATAATTTATATAAAAAAAAAAACCCTCTCCCTCCTCTATCTATCTCTCTCTCCCCCTTTCCCCTCCCCTCCCCGTTTTGCCCCCCGGGAAAAAGTAGGTGCAACAGCAGCAGCAGGAGCAACAGCGTTCATGTTTCATTTACAAACAAAACTAAAAACCATCGTTAAAAAGCTTTATAAAATTCTTCCACTACTACTACCCCCACTACAACTAGTGATAATAATAATAATTTTTCCCGCTTTTTTAAATCACTTTTTGGATTCGTATGTACAGAAAATTCAAATTTTTTTTTTTTTTAAATAATTATTTTCAATTTTACAAAGAATAAAATATTAAACAAACATTTGTTTGTTTGTTTGTTTGTTGTTACAACACGTGTAATTATATGAAATTGTCTTCTCTCTTACATAAAAAATCTCACATTTTCTTCCCCCTCTCCTTCCCCTCCCCACATCCATTTATATATATATATATATATAAATTTTACATTTGTTATCGATAAGAATAATAAAAAAACAATTTTTATGCCACATTTTTTTTTTTTTTTTTACACTAATAATAATAATAATATTAATAATAATAATGATAATTTCTTAAAACGAATAAAAAAAAATAAAAAAAATGAGAGACGACAACAAAAAGTGAATAATAATAATAATAAATTTCAATTGTTTTTTTCTTTTGTTTTTGTTTGTTTGTCTGTATGTTTTTGTTTTTCTTCTTCTTCTATTATTATTATTATTATTATTGTTATTGTTTTTTTTCTATATGTACAGTTTATAATTACATTATTTATTAATTAAAAAAAATTTATTCAATTTTTTTTTTTTTTAAATAAAAACAAACGAAAAAAAAAAAAAAAAACAAATTCTAAAAAGCAAAAAAAAAAAAATTTTTTTTTTTTTTAATTTAAATTATTAAATTATTAAATTATTATTATTATTATTATTATTATTATTATTTATCATTATCATCTTAATTTATTACATTTATGTATATATTTATATATATATAGATTTTTACGTGCAAATCGATTAAAAAAAAAATTAAAAGAGACAATTTTAATGACGATAATAATGACAATACAAAATAAATTTATTATTATTATTATTATTATTATTATTTGATTATATTTGTTTACCATTAACAAACCAACATCATCATCATCATCATCATTTTCCAGTAGTAAAAGCACACATATTGATAATAATAATAATAATAAATTTTATTATTTAAAATTCATTTGATTTTTACGTTTTATTTATTTATTTTTATTTATATTTATTTATAATTTTTTTTTTATTAATTAATTAAATTTTTAAAAAAATTATTTTTTTGTTTTGTTTAAATAATTTTTACTTTTTTTTTTTCCATTTTTTTCTTTTTGTTTAATTTAAAAATTAAAAAATTTAATTACAATACTTTTATACTTAGGAGAACTACAGGAAATCTACAAAATATATATTTATTTATATTCAAATAAGAGAAAAAGAAAGAATAAAAAAAAAAAGGATTGGGGGGAGGGGGAGGTGGTGGTGGTGGTCGGGTTGGAAAATCATTTTCTTTCTCTCTTTCTCTCTTCCACACTCTCTCCCTCTCTCTCTCTCTCATTTTTTCGATTTTTTAAAATAAATATATTTTTATAAATTAAATAAGTTTATGGGAGGTGAGAGAACGGGGCGGGGAGGGGAGCTACGGGGGGATTCAATGATAAAGAATGAGAGAAAAGAATAGAGAGAGAGAAATCAAAAGAACGTCTCAAACGATCGTCAATTTTTTTTAAAAATTTGGCAATGAAAGGCGGCCTTTTTTTTCTTACAATCCCCGCCCCCTTTTTTCGCCACGCCTCCTTCTCCTCCCACCGAAAGGAAAAATTTTTCTCTCTTTCTTTTTACAACAATTTTGTCGGCGAGCAGGTAAAAAAAAAAAATAAAATATTCACGTGTTACAAATTACTCAAGAGTAAGAGAGAGAGAGATGAACACAGACTGTGAGAGTGAGTGAGAGAGAGAGAGAGAGAGAAACTATTTCATGCAATCGAAAACAACTCAAATACAATACAATACAATACAAAAAAAAAGAAAAGTTCTCCGAGGTTGAAATATTTAAAAAAAAAATTTTCTTTTCCCCCTCCCTCTCTCTCTCTCTTTCCCATACAACAAATACGAGAGAAAGAGAGAGAGACAGAAAAATTAATTTAAAATAATTAAAAAATTAAAAAAAAAATTGATACACATATCGATTCTTCCATATTGTTTGAAAAATTTTCTTTTTTTAAAATTCAACCTCGTTTTCATTAAAAAAAAACTTTCATTCATTCAATCAATCAATCAATCAATCATTTCTCGATATTTCTTATACGATTAAAAATTAAAGATTTAACTTTTTTTTTTTTTTTTTTTTAATTCAATTAAACATTGTCATTAATTACATTACACACGCACAATTAGGTATATAAAAAAAACTGTCATCATCACTGTTGTTTGATCTGGGGGGAGGGAGGGGGGACAGAGAGGGGGAAATTGGGGGAGGGAGGGAGAGGAGCTATTATTTGCTTCATGAGATAATCGATTAATTGACCTATAAAAATTACACACATTTCTATATTCCTATATATATATATGTATGTATGCATGCATGTATGCATATATGGATTTATATATATATATATTTATATACACGCATATATTCTCGCGTGTATTTTATTATTTTTTACTTTTAAAATAATTATATATATATATGTATGTATATATATATATACGTGTTTACATAAGTTAATCAATAATGATAATAATTAAAAAAGGTGCATTTAATGCTTTTGATATAAATGTTTCTTTTGGAACGCGATTGATTGAGGTTATAAATAATTAAAAAAAAAAAAAAAAAAAAGTAAAAAAGAAATTATTAAATGATTAAAATGGAAAAAAGGGGGGAGGGAAGAGGAGGGGAGGGGATAAAGGGAAAAGGGAAAACAGGGAAGGAAAGGAAAGGGGGGGGGTGGGAATGGAGAAATAGGAAAAAGGTATTTAAAGAAGTTCGGAGCCAACGGAGGGCAGAGTCGGCGGTTTCATGAGAAACTTGTCCAGTTTAGCTATTATGTGTTTTCCATACGTGTATTTTCTCAAAGCTGAAATGTGTCCCCGGATTTTATGCATTAAAATCTTTCGTTGAGTAGGCTCGCAAACATCGATCATTTTCTGAACAACGTAATTCGCGTATTGATCCTTCATCATCAACTGAAGTGCACTGCAAAGAGAGAGAGAGAGAGAGAGAGAGGACGAGTTATCATTATTATTATTTTTTAACCTAAATTCATAACAATTCAAAAAAAAAAAAAAAAAAAAAAAAAAATGGCAACAACTTACTTGTCATTGTAATTGCAGACTTCTTCAATGAGAACTGATCTTTCAGTCCTTGTCGCGTGAGTCACACATTTTTCAACCACGTTAGATGCAAACTTGTGTTGTGACAGAGCGAGTACTTTCCCACGAACATTATTTATGATCTTTGACTTATCCTCAGGTTTGCCGTGTTCTGAAAATGACAAAAAAAATGAATACACGCGCGCGCACACACACACACACACACACGCGCGAATTTCGCTTTTCTTCTTCTTACCTAGAACATGTTGAATAACATAGTTGCCAAATTGATCCTGAACTAATTGTTCAGCGTGAGAGTGTAGTTCTTCTAATATGGGAGCCACTTGCTCGGGAGTGCAATGTTCCAATATTCGTTGTATTACTCGACATCCGTAGGGATGAGTAGAGAGAGCAAACACCTAAATAAAAAATGATTATTTATATAATTAGGTACACGCCTTGATTTACACGTGCGCGGGCACACGCACACACACATACCTGACCGGATAAGGCATTGATTATAAACTGAAGAGCATGGGGATCGACTCGTTCGATGCATTTTTGAACCACGTGATTTCCATTCTGATCTTTAACGCATTTTAACACGTGACCATCGAGCTCTCGAACTATTTCTTGCTGTTGTTCGGATGTTAAAGATTCTAAAGCCTTTTGTATAACTCTACAGCCGTACATTTGAAGAGCCAAAAGCAAAACGTGACCCCTCACCTGTAATTGACATTTTTAATCAAAATAATTCATTTGCCATTCATTTCCTAAAACTTTAGATAAAAAAAATGGAAAAAAAAATTGAATACGAACGATTTGAGAAAGGATCGCCTTTTGTTCAGGAGTTCCAAACTCGAAAAATTTTTGTATGACGTAATTTCCAAAAACATCCGTCATGAGATTATAAGCAGACGGTAGAATTTCATTGAAAACCATTTGCTTTTCGTTAACGGTGGCTCTTTCCAATTTCTGCTGTATAAATCGAGATCCATGTTGATCTTGAGAAAATTCAACTATGTGACGACTCAGATCTCTCAACGTCAAACTCGGGTACCGGTTATTTCTAGAAAAAATCATAAAAATATTTATTTAACAACCTTCCCCCCCCCCAAAAAAAAAAAAAAAAAAAAAAACCGCGAAGGAAGCCAAAACCTTTTTCACACGCGTGCTGAAAAATTTTACCTGAAGTCTTCCAAAAATCTGCTTCTACCAGCAGGTTTATCGACAACACCAGGACGAGATGCAGCCGTCAATTTCGTCAATAGAGAACTAGACGAGCCGAACATAGCTGCCGTCGTCAAACCGTTTCTGTATTTGGCAACTGCTTCTGCGCCAGGTGCCGCGGACAAAACTCTGCTCGACATGAGCGTACCCAATTGAAGATTTGATGATGAACCTGTAAATCGACGACGATGACGTCAACAAAAGCAACTCTTCACTTCTTATAACTAATATTATTATTAATAATAATAATAAAAGAAGAGAAAGAGAGAGAGAGAGAGAGAGAGAAATAAAAAAAAATTTACAAACCCAAAGTCGCAGTAAGAGAAGGCGGAGGTGTAAGAGACCCTGTAAGACCCAAAGGGCTGGGGGCTGCTGTCACCGTACCCAAGGCTCCATAATTTGTATTCCATTTACCTCTGTTATAGTCAAGAGACGGCGAAAAAGCTGAAATGTTTCTATCAAATGAATCTCGCCGTCCAGACGTTGAACTTAAACCAATATCTTAAATACAAAAAAAAAAAAAAAGAAAAATTACTTTTCACCCTCGTGCTCATGTATCATTAATAATAATAATAATAGTAATAATAATAATAAAAAGCAAACACAAAATGAGTGTTAGTCTATTTGCGGTAACCACCACAATGGCCGGAGGATATGAAATGAAACGAAATTAATGAAAGTTGAACATACACAGACAGACAGAAAGAAAGAAGAGAGAAAGGCAGACAAAAAGAAAGAAAGAAATAAAGAAAGAAAGAAAGAAAGAAAGAAAAAAAAAAAATTCGACCTACATTTTTAAAAAAAATTATTCCCTCTCGCAATTAATTTTTTTTTTGTGTTGTTGTTATTGGCTAATTTAATTTTTCTTTGATTTATTTCATAATTATAAAAAAAAAAAATACATGAGCAAATAATAATAATAATGATAATAATAAGTTTACGTACCGAAAGATTTTTACTAATAATTCTAACCCTTGCGCCGCGCCCATCCCCATCCCCAACCCCTCACTCTTCCTTTTCCTCGACTTTTTTTTTTACGGTGGTTTCAATTTAAAAAAAAAAAAAAAAAAAAAAAAAACTTTGCCTTTTAAAATGCATCCGGAGGAACCGGTATCGTTTTTCCAACCCCCCCATTCCCCCCCCCCGAAAACACACATTTCCACGACTCTTTTCGTCGATATAAAAAAAAACTGTCTTCCATTAGGACAAGGGTGATGGTCGTCGTCGTCGTCGTCGTCGTCGAAGAATATAATAAAGAGGGGGTTGACTCGTGTTATTATTATTATTATACAAATATCCTGAGAGACCGGGGGGTTGCTATTGAGAAAGAGAGAGAGAGAGAGAGAGAGAGAGAGAGCAACGACGATTTTAACGGAAGGAGGAGCATAAAAAACACTCGAGATATTTCTTTTTTTTACTTTCCTTTCTTCATTTCCTCATATGAAGATTAATAATAATGATAATAATAAAATTCATCATTCATTCACCCATTTGAAATAATAATAATATTATTATAATTATTTTACTTCTTCTAGCAACATGTACAAAAATCAAAGAAGAAAAACGGCAGAGAGAGAGAGGGGAGAGGGGAGAGGGGAGAGAGAGGAAAAAATTATCAAAACTCGTTACATAAGAGGAAATACATACATAAACTCACAACGGATAAAGTTTTTTTTCATTATTATTATTATTATTATTATTATAAATATTAATCTACTAATGTAATAATGGTTTCGCATTATTTCTATATAATTAATTTTTCACGTAACAATAGAACAATGAATAATAATAATAATAATGATAATAATGATATTAATAAAATAAAAACTTTTCCGCAAGCCTAAATTAATTCTCCTTTTTTTTTTTATTTTATTAATAAATAAAATAAAATAAAAATATACGAAATACAATATAAGACTCCATTCATGGGAATTGAAACCGGAAAACAAAAAAAATGTCATTGATTTCTCAGGTTCTATTGAGGTTGCGGGGGAGGGGGGAGGGAGAGAGGGAAATATTTTTACAACCATTATTATTATTATTATTTCATTCCTTAAAATTCATCGAACCTCAATCATCAAAAAAAAACCTAGCAAGCAATTAAATTAAATTTTTTTTTTTTTTAGTTTGTTTTCCTTTAACAAAATGAAAATAAGAACAACAACAACAACAACAACTGATAGTACTTCTTATCGTGCAAGCACCCCCTAACCCACCCTCACCCCCACCCCTCCCCATTTCCCATTCGGACGCGTGCGTTCGTAACGTAAAAAAAAAAAAAAAAAAACGATAATTGATGAATTACATAAAACGACGAAATTTTTTTAATTTCATTAAAAGCATACATACATTCATTCATTCATTCATTCATCATGGTTATTATTGGGGAGGGGGGGGAAATTCGCCCTTAACATCATCTTCTTCAGGGTAGGGGAAAGGGTAGAAAGAGAGAGATAGAGATAGAGAGAGATCGAGCGAGTATAATAAAATACGTTCGGTTTGCGGCATAATTACGTATTCATTTATTCACGTTTACTTCCATATCAAGGTAAAATTTAAAATAAAAAAAATGTACTTTCAAATTTTTTACGTCATATTTTATGAGGTTTCCTAGTAGTCGTGTCAATACCACACCGTAGCCGAAATCGTAACAAAAAAAATCAATCGTGTTGTCACGTACGTTTTACCCCCCCACCCTTACCCTCCCCTCAGTCAGTATTGCAAAGCTTCTCGTGTAACGTTTTTTTCCCAACCCCCATGCATTTAAAAATTCCTTTCATGCTATTAAATGATTTTTTTTTTACTCACCCGTGGTAGCAGCAGCAGCAGCGGCAGCGTTGACCAATACGGGAGCCGGAGACACGAGTCGCATGGGTGCCGTGTTACTTATGCTCCTAACGTTACCCATGACGATGGGACCGTTTTGGTCGTAATAAGGAATTATATATTGACCCTGAGTTAAGTTGGTTGTGTCGGATGTGGCAGCGGCTGCGGCGGCTGCCGCCGCCGAACCCGGTGATAAAGGTCTCCTCTGTTGATTCGATGCATTTTGTTGAATAATCGATGCCGGATAAACTCCCCAGGGAGCGACGCCGTAATACTGCGGCAAGACGGTGGGCCCTAAATTTTAACAATTTACCCTTAATAAACATTTTTTCCTTTCTTTCTTAGTTAATAAATGGCAAAAGGGTGTGTCTACTTGCCGGCTGCTAATATGTAAGGCTCCTGAGCGTTTATCACATACGGTGTCGTGTTAAAAGCTAACTGTTGCTGTTGAGCGGCAGCTGCTTGCTGTTGTAAATATTGTTGTTGTTGTTGTTGTAACACGTGTATGGGTTGAGATGTGCCTGATTGTTGAGGTTGTTGCTGTTGTTGCTGCTGTTGATTTCTAAATAGCTGCTGTAATAAAAAAAAAAAAAATTTTTTTTAAATTTAATAATCTTGATTGCATATTGATTATTATCACACCAACTTTCTTTTAATTTAATTTTAATTTCATTTGAATCTTTAAAAACTTTCTTAATTGACTAATTTTAATGTCTGATAAAAAAAAAAAGAAAAATTTAATCCACTTTCAAAAAAAAAAGTTTTTTATCATCAAATTCATTTTTCTCAACGGATAATCATTTCGAGACCACACAAAAAAGCCTGAATTTGTTGTCAAATCACCGAATGCAAAACATTTCCCCCTCCTCCTTCTCCTCCCCCGTGTCCCCCATCCCGTGACTTAAAAAAAAAGAAAGTACAACAACAACAACAACAACAATCAGATTTTTTTTTTTAAAAAAATTGTTCTTTTTTTTTTCTTTCCTCCTTTCGGCCATTTTTTTTTTTTTTGTAAAAAAAAATTTCTCACCGCATTCCTTCCTATTCCTCATCACACGCTCGCCGCAAATTTTAATAATAATAATAATAATAATATCGCATATTTTTTACAAACGTCAAAATGCATTTCATAACTTAATTAAATAATAGTAATAATAATAATAATAATTACAACAGGTAAGTTTTTTCTAAAAAAAAAAAAAAAAAAAATGGAAAGCGTCGTGAGGAAAGGGGTCTCAAATTTCTTCGACATTTATATATTAAATTTCTCGTATCAAACAACAACCACGACGACAACAACCACAACAACAAACAAACAAACGAAAAAAAAAAAAAAAATTAAAAAGATGACATTATTCAACCCATTTGGCACGTATAAAAAAAACCGTGATTAAAAATATTTAACGACGATGATTATTATTATTATTTTTTTTTTTTTTTTTTTGGCTGAAAAAATCAAAAAAAAAATTTTTTTTTTTTTTTTTTTATGAATATTATAACAACAATAATAATAATGATGATGATGATGATAATGATGATGATGATAATAATAATCACATGACAATTAAATGCGTGTGCAACAAAAATTTAAACAAGGTAAAAAATAAATAATATTGGCTTAGAATCAATTATTATTTATATAAATTTACTACACATAAGCAAAAAAAGATGTGTCAGAGAGAGAGAGAGAGAGAGAGAGAGAGAGAGAGAGAATCACTACCATCACCATCACCACCACCACCACCACCACCACCATCATCATCATCTCTTTAAAATGTCTGACTAACATCTCCTACAACTTTTTTTTTTTTTTTTTTTTTTGCATTTAAAATAAAAACAAAACAAAACAAGACGAAAAAATCATCATCATCATCATTATTATTTTTCTTTCCTTTTATTATTATTATTATTATCCATGGAAGCAAGCAAGCATAATTAGAAAGTTTTTTTTTTTTTTTAAAGTACGAGATCGTCACGGTTTTGCGAGCGTAAAAGTCCGGATTCCATTAAAAAAAAAAAAAAAAAAAAAAAAATTAGTTACATTTGATGGTTCGATGGAAATCGAATGTTTTTTCGATTATGCCCCACCTTTCCTTTTTCCATTCCTAAGAAAAAGGGGGGAAGATGAAGGAGAGAAGAGGGGAAAAGAGGGGAGGGGAAGGAAATTCAGAAGAAGTTTCGACCTGTCACCAAAAAAATTTTTTGTCACGTTTTTTTTTTAAAATCTTCGTCATCAAATTTTTTGTTCGAATTTATCGTTTCGTCCACGCGCGATACCTTAAAACGTACCTTAAAAATTTTTTCATCTTCAAAAGGTACTCTCTCGCGCAAAATTTAAATTTAAATTTAAATTTAAAAAAAAAAGTTCAACGGACGACGACTTTTTTAACTTGATCGTAATAACAAAGAGAGAGAGAGAGAGAGAGAAATAATAGAAGATACGTTATGACTCATTCGACAATAATTATGTCAGAGAGATGCAAATCTTTCTCTCTCTCTCTCTCTCTCTCTCTCTCCTTTTCATCTTGGCCATCTCAACGTTTTTCGTAAATAATAAAATAAATTTAAATTTTTTCACAACGGATTCAAAACACTTGTCCACAATCCAACAATTTAAAATTTTCTCTCTTTCTTTCTCTCTCTCTCTCACTCTCTCCCTCTCTCTCTCTCTTTTTTCTTCTCTATAAACATTTTATTCTTTGCCATTTTCCTCTGACTAATTAAAGAAACTTTACTCATCACTAGCCAGCTGCCACATTTTTTTTTTTTTTTTTTTTTTTTTCAAATAAAAAATTCCTTTTATCCTCTCTTTCTCTCTCTCTTTTCACATATCCTCCTCTTCCTTGCCCTAGTACCGTCATCATCATCATCATCATTCTCACCGCGTTAATGAACAACAGGAGAGGAGCATATAACGGAATTTAAAATATGAAAATTCGCCATTGGCAAAAAGACAAGACCTTGAGCTTTGCCTAAAAATCAAATTCCTTCCGACACTTGGAGGTCTTCCCACCTGGTTGTTGTTTGTTTGTTTCTTTCTTTCTCTCTCTCCCTCCACCCCCCCCATCTCTCTCTCGAAATTTTTGACAACGAAACAAAATCAAAAATTATTATTTTGCATTTTTTTTTTTTACCGAGTATTATTGCCATTTCGCTAATTATTTTTCTTCCGTCATGTTTATTTCTATATGCTCCCTCTCTCTTCCTCCCTCCCTCCCCCTCTCTCTCTGTCGTCGTACCCGCACGAAGAAATAAAAAAAAAACGCGAGGGGGTAAATTTTTTTAAATATCTCTCTTTCGTAACGACATTTAATAATAATAATAATAATAATTTTTTTCATTCTAGAACGAAAATAGGGAAGTTAAAAACACCCTCCCCTTGTGCGCACACCCGCACACACCCCCCCACACGACAAAAGGTAAAAAAACATGCAATATTAAGGCGTTGTCGGTTAATCAAACTTTTTTCTTTTTTCATTCCCTCCTTTCCTCCTTTTCCTCTTTTCCACTTTTCTCATTCATTTTTTTTTATTTTTCCGTTTTGGAAAATGATGATGCACACACAAAGTTTGTCTCATGACACACAAACAAAAAAAAAGAGAGAGAGAGAGAGAGAGAAAGACACGACACAAAAAATTATAAATTGCTTGTCTCAAAAAACATTTTTTTAATTTAATTATTTAATTGCATATAGCAAAATACTTTTTCTTCATTTCTTTTCTGCTGCCACGAGAAAAAAATAAAAATAATTTGCTGGCGTTAATGATCCTAATAACATTATCGCAAATATTATAAATAATAATAATAATAAATAATAATTCGAATACTGATGACGATAATGATGATGATAATGATATTAATTTTGAATGTAGATAGCTATTACAATTTTTGAGGAGACACGTTGAGAAAGTTTTTTTTTTTTTTTAAATGAATAATTACAAAAGAAATTAGTAACGCGAAAAGAAAAAAAAAAAAACTGGAACGACCTGAAAGTTAAACAACCCGAACTAGCGAACGAGAAAGAAAAAGACAGAGAGAGAAAAAGAGAGAGATAGAAAGAGAAAAATCCGTTAAAAACAATTAATAATTACGATTCCATACAATTTTTAATAACCGAAAAAAAATTAATTTTTTCTTTCTCTCTCTTTCTCTCTTTCCCCCCTTTCTCTCCCTCCCCTCCCCTCCCTTTCTCTCTCTCTCTCTATTTACTCGCGTTATTCAACGTTTACCTTCAAGGTGATTCGTTTTATTTTTACATTATTTTTATCGTCGTGATGAATAATCGAATATGCACAAACATATCGAATAACTTTTCTTTTTTTTTTTTTTTCTGTATTTCCGGTAAATATTTGAACCTTAAACCTACACCAAACACGAAGGTGAGTAAATAAAATAAAAACCTAAAAAGTAACGCGACCTGGGGGTTTCGATTAGGAGGCAACAATTCAAATACACACAAACAAACACAACAAACACAAACACAAACACGTCAAAAAAAAATTTTTTTTAAAATGATTAATAATAATAATAATAATAATAAGTACCTAGAATGGTTTTACGTCTGTCTTAAACCTCCTTCTTCAATTATTATTTAAATGGTATGCAAATGGAAGTTAATAGTATTTAAAAAAAAAAAAAAAAAAATTATTTTGATTATTCAGGTACGTAAAAGCAACAACAACCTCCTCTACTCTCCTCTCCCCACCACTCAACCTTAACATGAATATTACATTAAAAAAAATTTTTTTATTACTCTTTACGATAATAATGATAACTCCCATATACCACAACAATAATAATTTTTATCGTATCGATAGATTGAATCTGATTTTTAAAAACTTTTAACGTTTTTTTTTTTTTTTTTTTTTTTTTAAATATGGCCGCCGACGACGGTTGAAAACTTCCAAACCCGAAGCCACAAATTTTTTTTTTTTAAGGAAGAAAACGAAAGGAAATTCAAATAGAACAATCCGCGTTTCGACTTCCTTTTTACAACCGATAAGATTAATCGTTCCCGCTCCTATTATTATTATTATTATTTAAATAACAGTAAAAAAAAAATTTAGTAATAATAATAATAATAATAATAATAATAATAATAATAATAATAATAATAATAATAATAATCAATTACGACTTAATAATAAGGATTGCAAATGAGAAAGAACATAAAAAACAAAATAATAAATAATAACTGTAAATAAATAAATAAATAATAATAATAATAATAATGAAACGATCATGCGACGACGATGATGATGATGATGATTAATAAACGTCAATAAAAAAGAAAAAGAAAAACGACTCGAATGAAATCGTGTGAATATTTCTCTCTCTCTCTCTCTCTCTCTTTGCGTTTGTGCGTGTGTGCGTGCGGGGTCGCGTCGTGTGAATTGTCTCTCAAATTAAGTTAGCAAATATATAATTAAATAAAAGAAAAGTTTTTTAAAAGAAAAAAAAAAAAATGTTTCGATAAAAGTTTTAAAAATGGTAACGTTTTTTTTTTTTTTTTTTTTGATTTCGTGCTAACAAACGGGCGTTAATTAAAATACCAACAAACGACGACGACAACAACAACAACAACAACGCCATCGATTCACCTTTGCCAAAAATATTATGACCGGACAACCTCGTCGTTCCGTTAAAGTAAAATAAAATTTTAAAAAAAATTTTATTTTAATTCCTTCTTTCCTTTTTTCCTTTGCCTTTCCCCTTTCCCCTCCCTCCCTTTTCGTACTTCATACGATATTTCCTCATTTCCGACATTACGAGTAAACGAAATTTAACAACAATTTTTTTCCTCTATGACTTCATAGTCTATGAACTCGACGTAAGGTCGTCAAGGACAGTTGAACATGTTGTTGTTGTTGTTGTTGTTGGTGTTCGATCAACACGTAAACAAATAACCCCCTCCCCCCCAATAAATTGTTCAGGTTAAATCCGCCGCCGAACCTCGACTACAAACGATTTTTAATGAAAAATGTGCGCAAACGAAAATTATAACCTTTTTTCCACAGAAAAAATTTTCCAAGGCTAAATAAAAACTTTTGGGAAATTTAATTAACTTTTATTGACAATTAAAACGGAGAGTGGGGTGGGGAAGGGGGCGGGGGAGGAAATGAACAG